AAAGTTAGCGATGGCCCCGTTGCACCCGGATATCCCGCGCGGATGCGGACATCCCAGCTGCCTTTTCAGGGGGAAGCCACATCCGCACCCGCAACCGCAATCGCGGGCGGGTATCCCCCCGCCTGAGCGGGTATCCGAGCGGGTATCCTCGGATACCCGGCCTTTCACTAGCCGGCGAGGCACATCCTCGCCGGCTGGAAGGAAGCCCTTCCAGCCGGCAAGGATGTGCCTCGCCGGCCAGTTAAAGGCCGGGTATCCGAGGATACCCGCTCGGATACCCGCTCAGGCGGGGGGATACCCGCCCGCGGTTGCGGTTGCGGGTGCGGATGTGGCTTCCCCCTGAAAAGGCAGCCGGATATCCGCATCCGCGCGGATATCCGGATGCAACGGGGCCATCTCTAACTTTCATTCCTTTGAACGGATCGATAGCTTCCCATACATCCAATTCGCCAAACTTATCCATCTCATAAGTCGCCGCCTCCCTCCACGATTCCGAGTGGATTCCTGCTAGTGCCGCTTTGATATGCTTCGGCAGATCGATTTCTGGTCCCACAGTAAGTTCCGCAATCTGTTTCTCCTCTGCTGCCGCCATTTCAGTTGTCTTCTCTTCGCCAAGCTGGAGGATGATTTGATTTAGTACAAAATCAAGATCGGATTTCTTAACGTCTTTCTTTACTGGTAGATTCTGGAACTCCGGAAACGTGGCTGAAGTTGAATGTATTGATCGTTGCTCTCGTGGGGAATAGAATAACCATCCAGCTCCCGCGTCAGGATAACCCAATAAAACCGCCTCTTGACCTTGTTCATCGAGCTTCTTCCTCCGTTCCTCTGGGATATGGATTAACGCTTTCGCCCCAAAAGGGTAAAGTACGTTTGGGTTTGGAATCACTCCATAGAAGAGTTCAGTTGGACACTTATCCTTTGCTCTAGAGTTAGGTAGTCGATTATGAATGTGACCAGCCGTTGACCAGGCATAGCTCCAGAAACACCGTGGAAGTCTGCTCTCATGTAGCATGGTACGTGCCATATCTCCAATCGTTCGATTTAGCCTCTCGGCTTCTCCATTCTGTTGTGGTGAGTATGGGGCGCTGGGTGCTGTCTTTACGCCAATCACGGCGAGTCTTTTTCGAAGTGCATGAATGTATTCAGGTGCGTTATCACAACGGATGTACGTCGGATATTGTCTAAAGTAATTTTTAATGTGTTCTAGCCAGGACATTATCTTATTTGGTACATCAGATTTCTTTTCGATCGCTCCAACGAAGGAGTACGAGCTTGAATGGTCACGTAGTGTAATACTGTATCGCATACCATGGACATCCGTTTCGAATGGTCCTGCGACATCTGTCACCATCAAGTCCAGTGGCTCTTTCCTGGGTACTTGAGATTCCACACCGAGAGCCTTGCGACAAGTGCTCTTAGACTTTACACAACGTTCACAAAAGAACGACTTCCATTTGACTTTGACTTCGGGGTAATTCATCTTAAGATACCGTTTAGAGATGTCACTTGGCACCCGCCGGCAGGTACCTGCCACACTTTCAGAAGGTGCCCTGGGCACTTCCATCCACCAGCTTTGAAGGTGGAGCATACAGAACTGTTTCTTGGACAGTAATACATCCTTTCAATGCACAGCTGGTGGCTGGAGGTGTCCATGTAATTGTTTGAAGTTGTGGCGGGTACCTGTTGGCAGGTGCCAAGTGACATCTCTAATACCGTTTAACCACTTCTTCAGAGGCATGGCCTAGGCGTACGTGCCACTTGTAAGAGTCAAAAGATGGGACCTGGGTGACTTTATTAACGGATAGGGAATTAGGTAGGGTTTCCAATGACCAACAATAATTATGGAAAACAGTTGAATAAACATTATTTTCAGGGTCTATTAAAGTTGCTTCGGTTCCCTGATAGGACAATTTCCATCCATCGGCGATTAATCTTCCTGTCGACAAAATGATTCCATCGACTCCGGGTACATGATACACATCCTCAATCACGATGTTCCCCTTCGGGGTCGGAATCGTGACTCTACCAATTTCCGTGACCGAGACGTTACATTCAGTGACAGCCAGGTAGAAGGTTCGAGGTGTCGTCAGTTTCCGAGTTGCTTCAAACAGTCTAGTTGTACCACTCACATGGGCCGAAGCACCTGAGTCGAGTAGTACACCTTCGGTCATGTTAGGGAAGTTAACCTTTCTCACGTGATGTTCGGAGCGGCGAGGTGGAATATATTGTGGTTCTTTTGTCTCATAATCAGCCGGTGGTGGTGAGATTTTCTTCAACGCTACATCTTTCCAATACTCAGAGCAGTCCGAAAACCAGTGGCCGTCCTTCGAACAATACGCACAATCGGTTCCGTAGCGGTTGACTAAAGATTCCGATTGACCCTTCCCTTTGTAATGGGCAGCTCTGTCTTGCGAGAAACGTGGGTGACTCAATTTCGTAGACTTATCAATCGACGGACGTCGTTGGGGTGTTATATATTTACGATTGCCGTTGTTGAAAGCGTGAATTCTATCCAAGTCCATCGGTGAGTGATCCAGCGAGTTGTTCTTGGGTTTGAGTTTACTCGATGCTCCTTGTATGATGGTTGTCACGTCATCAAATGAAGGTGCATCTTTCTCATTCAAATTTTGATCTACACTGAACTCGAAGGTCTTATGGTCAATA